TCTTTACATGGCTAGTGCCATCTCATCCTTTAAATCTCAGCTCATATGTCACCTCTACAGTGAGGCCTTCCCTTGTCACTATCTAAAATAGAACAGCCAGCTCCCATCATTCCCTCTCAGCATCTTGTTTGTTCCCTTTATAGCAAATGCACTTAGCCACAACCCTGTGAACTGACTTGTTTATCTGTCACGTCCCCCCCCCAGACTGTAAGCACTATGAGAGTAGGAATGAATCTATATTGTTCACCATTATAATTCCCAATGTAAAGTACAATTCTTGCCATTTAAGTGCCTAATAAATGATCAATTTTATTTCCCTGATATGCCATGTCCTCATACATGCTACTCTCTCTGTTAAGACTACCACTGCTGTCATAATCACCCCCACTGCCCTACAACCACTGCCCCCATCACACCAGTGCCCACCCTCACTGTCCCATTACTGTCCCCATCACCACCACCAATGCCCCACCACCAATAGTGACCCCATCACCATTACTGCCTCTAGTGCCTCTGCCACACCCTTACCCTTTCACATCCTTAACTCATATCTCATGAGTAAAACATTATTTCCTTGATAAAGCCTTCCCTCCTTGACCCCCTGGGAAGACAGTATCTCCTTCACCTACTTATTATTCATCATTGACTGTACCTCTACCATAGCAATTTTATATTATAAAATTATGTTACACTTGGGTTTTTCTGGAAGAAGGAGGCAGAAAGGAGAATGTTCTTGTTTTGCATTTCTGTCTTACAAGTACTTTGGAATGCCTTAAACAAAGAAAAAATCTTTTCATCTTTGTGTCCCCAGTATTTCGCACACTGCCAGGCACATAATTATGATAATAATAACAATAATGGCTGACGTGTACCGAGCACGTACTATGTGCTCGGTACTTCTTACTGTAATAGTAGGTGAGTGAATGAATGAATTTCTTGGTCACCAACCTCACAGAGATCACAGTCTGGCAACAATAAAAGACTGATATACAGTCTAATGCAGAATAAACACCACCCCAAGGCCAATTCAGTTGCCCTGTCCTGTTCTGTACCTTCAAATCTTAGCAAAGCTTTTCTCTGAGTGCATAAATGTGTCAGGTTTCTTCAAACTCACTTAGAATACTTCCTTCAATTACTTACAACCACTTCCTGCACTTGGTGCCTGGAAACAATTTCTAGGATGCCACCACAAGCAATATTAAACTGCCACAGAGTTTCCTGCTTTGTGTCTGCATTATCAGTTAAATTGTTTCATACTAACCACATTCCAGTCCACCGGGATCACTCAAAAACTAAGTAAGATTTAAACATACCTGTTGAAGATTGCCAGCCATCCCTCCAGATACTTGTTCCCCCAGGTTTAACATTCAGGAGCTTTCCAGGGTGCTACCTACATCCTGGTGCTTTCCCTTTCCTTGTCAATTACACTGGGTTTGAGGCAAGGCAAGTTTGCTTTATTAAAATGAAGGTGAACTAAATGTTCTTTAGTAAGTAGCTGCCTGCCTGTTGTTGTTGTTATGTGCCGTCGAGTCGGACCGACTCATAGCGACCCCTCCTTGGGTTTCCCAGGCAGTATCACTACGGAAGTAGATTGCCCCATCTTCCTTCCAAGGAGTGGTTGGTGGGTTTGAACAGCCAGCCTCCAGATTAGCAGTCAAGTGACTTAGGCACTACGCTAACAGAGCTCCCAGCTGCCTGCCTAGAGCATAGCAATTTGGCTTAAAAACAATGAAACATAAAAACTCTTCCTCCATAAGAGTTCAAATAACCAAACTGTTCTTGGAATGCTGGGTACAGAAGTCAGAGAACTATCTTAGCTTGGATTCTAATTCAGATCCTAATGTATTTTTTAAACTCATTCTACAAACTCTTCCTACACAACTGTGTGCCAGGTACTGGGCTGACACTGGGAGCACAAATGAAAATAAGACTGGCTTTGCTCTCAAGAAGTCTATGTGTTGCTTAATGGAGGAGACAGACAAGGAACTGGACTTTGTGCTATGACAGCGATAAGCACAAGGGGCCAGAAAACACAAATGAGGTGCACCCGATCCAGGTAGGGGTTGAGGGGTGAAAGATGGGGACTTGGCATCAGGGCAGGCTGCCTTGGGGATGGCATCTTATCTCAGGCCTATAAATTCTCCCAGTCTCTCATTTGAGAAATGTGGTTAATAGTAGTACCTATATCATTGGGCAGTTGTGAGAATTTGATGATACGATTCACATAAAGCATTCCCATTGGTATCTGACAGAAATTGTACTCAACCACTTTAGCTTGAAAGAAAGTTTGATAAAGCACTAAATCTCAGTATCTGTGCCTAGCAATTCAAAAGCTTTACTACTGACCATCTAACATATATCAGCTTCATAATTACATACGGTATTGTTTGTTTGTTTGTTTTAAATAATGAGACAATGTTAAGTGCTGCTTTGGACATTGACAGTCTAATTTCTTGATCATCAAAACCTTTGTCTCCATTAACTGAAGCATGCCTTTCTATGACAACTGTGGTATAAAATATACCAGCTAGACTATGCTGTTCTAAGCCTTTAGATAAAGAAAGTGTAAAAGAAAACTAGTAATTACTGAGTTTTTAATATGGGCCCAGTATTCATGTTGGTACTGTGTTTATTCTTCATAATGACCTTGCAACATGGGCACTGTCTGCCCACCAGGGAAAATGAGGTTGAAAGAGGTAATCTTTGCAAAGTTTCCGTCAGTGGACAACAGAACCCAGGTATGAGTCCAAAGTTTGTTCTCACTCCACTACACCATCTGTCTGACTCAGCCACACATCATCAGAGATAGCAAGCAAGAGAGAACACAGGCAGCCATAATGCTTTCCTGCTCAAGGGGTCCCAAAGTGCTCTGCCCTCCGTCCTCCGCCCTCTCTGTCTTATATATATAATGGAGCCTGTACACTTGGATTTCACCTCATCTAGGTAAGTACCTGGGGGTAGTCTGTTCTGTCCTGTCAGGATAGAATGGTCAGTAGTAACCAAAGTTCTATTTTCTCAACAAGTAGGGCAGCTGCTAAGTAGATGGTTCTCCTTGCCATTTGTCCATCATATTCCTACATGCAGTCAGAAATTGCATAATCCAGTCACCATAAATCGAGACTACTTTTCATAACTTTTCTTTCTCTTTTAGTCTCACCACAAGTAAAGACAACATATTTCCCAAGTGTAAGTTTTTATCACACAGCAGTCTAGTTTCAAAATCAAGGGGGTTATTCTTAAACTAATTCCACACTTAATAAAATTTCATGCCTTAATAAATTCCCTTGCCCAAGAGCACAGATATTACATTGATGAGTTCCACAAAACACACTTGAGAAATGTGTCAACCCCACTACATTCAAGAGCAAAAGAGGAACTTGAAGCCTTGTCATCTGAACTTCTACTAGCTGGATTTGAATGCTGATTCTGACACTGACTGCCTCATAGCAGGCAAGTTTCTGAACGTCTCTGTAACAAGAAGGGTAAACGTCTTCACAAGCATACTCTGGGACTCTAGGGTTGCTTTTGGAAAGTGTTTCTAAGTGCTATTGAAATCCAAGTTTACAACTGTTATTGGAAGCAGTAGCTAAACTTGGAGTGCCTCTTTAATCCCAATGCTTCACAAACCTCCCAAGCCTCTTAAGCTCTTGTTTGGAGTATGCTTTTATTTTCCCTCATTTCCACAAAAATAAAGAATCAACAGCATGTTCATCCACCTCACCCATTTTCATTATCATAAGCAAACTTTTCTAGCTCTGTTTCACAAATGTCTCAGAGCTGCTGCAGCACATATTAGACATTTTGTGAGTGGACAGCCTAAATCACACAGAGGAACTGCAAAGCATGGGCAGCACCTGGACATGAGATGCAATGCTCCAGTAACTATGAGATTTCGCCTGAGGGCCCTTCCCCTTTCAAACTTCCCTAGACACAAATCTCAAAATGCTGAAATAAACATTATACAGACTTTCTTGTAAGAGGGCATAAAGTGTCTTATGAAAGCTATTTTAAGGAAAAGCCTAGGCTGTCAATTTGTTTTTAAATGCCCTTAAATAATTCTATTAGTCATAGAGAAAAAACTGAACATTTGCTAGTGATTAGAGATAAAACATATCGTGTGGTGGGGCTGAGGAAGGGAGAGGCCAGAGAGGACCTGGCTGGGAGGGGAGGTAGAGTCCAAAGCAACACACCCAAATTGGACTTCATAAAAGTTACACTTGCCAAAGTCAACTTCTAAGTCTAGAAAGAGGGCAACAATGCTTCAATGTGGAGTTCTGAAGATGGATGTATAAACAATTTCCCAGAAAACGAAGCCACAGACCAGGGACTTCAGGTGAATGAATGAGTGCTGAAATTTGCCAGATTGGATTGCAAAACCTTTCCAAAGATTATCAAGATCAGGTGCTCAGTTACAGCAGCGGTATCTTGCTCGAAGGAGCATAGCCTTTGGCCCTTGCTGAGTGCAGACGTGCACAGATAAGAGAGGAACTAGAGAAAAAAGGGCCTCGCTCCTCAGGGTATCTAGACCTTAAACCTAAGAGTGGCCCTTCCCTCTAAGAACCTCTCGCGACTTCTGTGGGGGTCGTAGGCCTCACACAGCTAGGCTGCAACCTACTAGGACCTGCCAACTCTCAGGGGCGCCCCAAACACACCCATTTGGGGAGCCGCTTCCTGAGATTTCCTAACCCCCTCCTTACAGTTTTATAACCATTTTCAGGAGCTCTGTGCAAACCTAGAGTGGGAGCCACCTTCCCACTGTTCCCGCCTTCAGGTGAGGAGGGGACACCTGACCACCGGCGCCCTCCCACCCCCACCCGCACCCCGCCCCCGCGCCTCCCTGGATTGTCATGGCAACCGTCCCCCACCCCGCGTGACGCCGGCACGCCGGGCGCCCCTTCTGTCCCGGCAACAAATCCCCCGCACGGCCCGCGGCCTGTAGCCCTCGTCTGGCCTCGCCGCCCCGCGCCCGGCCCGGCTCCGCCCGGCGCGGCCGCACTCACTTGATCCTGGAGCCCATGGTCCCCAGGCCTCCTCATGGACCCGCGGGCCCCGCTTGGCGCTGCGCGGCCCGCCCGCCCGTGGTCGATGGGCCTCCCTCTGGTGCTCTCCCCGCCCCTTCCTCCCTTCCCTCAGGCTGGGACCCGCCCGCTCGAGGCTCGCTCCCTCGCCGCCGCCGCCGCCTCCCGGGGCTAATGTACACGCTCCAGCCCGGCGAACGCCATGGTCGCCGGCGCGCGTGCCCGGCGCGCGCCGCCCCCACCTCCTCTCACACCGCCGCCCTCTCCCGCCCGCGCCACCGCCGCCGCCGCCCGCGGGGACGGCTGGGAAGTGTAGTCCGCTCTCCGGAGGCGGGGCCGCCTGCGGGAGGGGAAGGAGGAACTGTGGATTGGCTCCGTCGTCTTCCTCAGTTTCTGCTGTCGGTGACTTTGGCTTTCTGGGACAGGCCCCTAAGGACTTCAGCCCACTGTTATCCCATAGAAACATCCACACGCAACTCCTCTGAAGAGATCCAGATCCCATAGAGATCCCAGACGCCACTCAATAGCTGAGCCCATGGTCCCCGGACTTCCTCACGGAGTTACTCCCCAATGGGGTCCTTCCATCCAGTAGTTCTTGTTTAAAGAGAATCTACCTCTCACTCAGGCCTCGGTGAAGACACGAGTTTTCCCTTTAAAATTCCATAGATCCTAGTACAGTTCCATAAGGGAGCCACAGACCCTCTACTCTTCTCTATTCACCATCCACTTTACCACATGATCCTTGACAGAGACCACTTCCTCTCTCCTCAGATCTTTAAGGAGACCCCACACACTCACAGAAAAGCCACCTGGGGCTTCATAGGATCCATATGGTGGCTCAGCGCTGCCTTACCCTTGAGAACTTATAGCTCCCTTTGTCAGCCATTTTGTGATACAGAAACCTTATGTCACCGTAAGAGTTCTTGGCAAAGATCAACGCAACACAAATGAAGGTATTTGAAAGCCAAGGTCACCAACTGCTACCTACCTCTGTTCCCCCTTGAGGCTTACTTTTATGAAAATCCCAAATTCATTCCCTCTAGGACTGAAAGGCTCACAAAGGAAGCAGTAATGACACTACTGTTTAATGAGTGGGTGAGTGAGTACTTTCTCTGAACCAAGCACTGTATTTTCTCTACATCATTGTTGCCAATATTAATAATAATCCTATGAGTTTATTCTCCACTCCATGTCAGATTACCCAATAAGCAAGGTAAGCATTAGCTTCCTTGTGCTTACTTACTAGTCTGCAGTAAACAATTCACAAATTCACATTTTTCACCACATCTAAGATTCTGCTTCCAAGTATAGCTAACATCTCTCCCAAACCCACAGCACCTTCCTACAGAATCTAAGCCTCTTTGCCCTGACAGGGATGGAGTACCCACTAAGCAAGGTAAACACAGGCTTACTTACGCTTACTAATCTGTAGTAAACACTTCATATAGGAGGATTATTCACTACAGATTAGTAGGTAAGCACAAGCAAGCCCATGCTTACCTTGCTTCTTGGGTAATCCACCCCTGCCTCCACTTACTGAAAATGAAACTAAGGCACGTGCCAAAAGTCATACTGGTGAAGCCAAGATTGTTGTTGTTGTTAAGTGCCGTCGAGTCGTTTCCGACTCATAGCGACCCCATGCACAGCAGAACGAAACACTGCCCGATCCCGCGCCAGCCCCACAATCCCTGCTATACTCGATCCCATCATCGCAGCCACTGTATCAATCCATCTCCCTGAAGGCCTCCCCCTCTTTCGTTGACCCTCCACCCTACCAAGCATGACATCCTTCTCCAGGGAATGGTCCCTTCTTACAACCAAGATTAGCAAGTTTAATGATTCCAGATACATGTGACATAGTTGCAATTTAGAGTGGTACCTTTGACTACAAGTCAGAAGACACTATAAGCTCATCGGTCACTTTTGAAATTGGACTTTCTTTTTCTGTTCTGAAATGTCATTTATCCCCTCGCCATTGAAGCTTCTAGAAATGCATGGACTATCTCTCCCCCGACTCCCCACCATCGCTGCAATAACTGATCTTACATCCCCAGCCGTAGAAGGCAAAAGGTTAAGTAGTAGAAAAGACTCCTTCTTTTGGAGTTATCTTCTGGATAAAGATCATTTTTTCTCTTATGCCTATGGCCTGAGGTTGTTGAACGCAAAGGATATTTAAGTATATATCCAAAATTCAAAGTCTTTTGCACCCAGACACCAACACTGACTTATAAACACCCCCAGGAGCAAAGGCTCTACTAGACAGCCAAGGGCTCTTTGGTGTTTATTCACCTTGTTTTCTATGAACCCTCTCCAAAGTACAGTTGTTATCAAGATCTTCTCTGGAATGAGCAGTCAGTTCAAAAGCTCTGAGCAGGAGACTATAAATAAAACAAAGTTATTTGGTGAAGGGCAAATCTGGCTGCTTTACAAAGGAGGTTGTAGCCATCCTGGCCACAAAAATGTCTGGGTGCCTGCTGGGGTATGTGTGTGTGTGTCTGTGTGTCTGTGTTGGGGGAGGAGGCAGAGACAAGGAATTAAGGGTGGGGGATATGTTTGCCCATTTGGCCTCTGAGACAGCAGGGTGTTCTAGGGAGAGAGCACTGGACAGGGAGCTGGGAGTCTGGCATCTAGTGCTTGATTGCACCACAGACTAAGCTGAGAGACTATGCAGACAATTGTCTGCTTCTGTTTCCTCTTCTGTAAAATGGGTATAGAAGATGATTAGGAACTCACCATCATAAGACACAGTGTTCTATAGAGGCTAAGAGTGTGACCTTGGACAACTTACTCAGGCCTGCCTCAGGTCTTTGTGTAAATGGAAATGATGTAATAACAGCATCTGCCTTACCGAGTTGATATGAGGATTAAATGAGTGAACAAAACAGTTCCTAAACCAAAAACCAAACCAAACTCACTGTCGTCGAGTCGGATCCAACTCATAGCGACCCCTTCTTGGGTTTCTGAGGCAGTATCACTACAGAAGTAGATTGCCCAATCTACCTTCCAAGGAGTGGCTGGTGGGTTTGAACCGCCAGCCTTCTGGTTAGTAGTCAAGTGCCTTAGGCACTATGCCACCAGAGCTCCCTAGAATATAAGAAACACTGAAAAAGAATTATTAATAACTATGTTCTACAAAAGGAGCTCTGGTGGCATTGGGCCTAAGGCACTTGACTGCTAACCAGAAGGCTGGCAGTTCAAATCCACCAGCCACTCCTCAGAAGGAAGGTTGGGTAATCTACTTCTGTAGAGATTTACCACCTCAGAAACCCAAAGAGGTGTCGCTATGAGTCGGGTCCGACTCGAGGGTACACAACAACAACAACAACAACATGTTATACAAAAAGGTGCCCTGGTGGTGCAGTAGTTAAGTGCTTAGCTGCTAATCAAAAGGTCAGCAGTTGGAACCCACCAGCCACACCATGAGAGAAAGATGTGACTGTTTGCTTCCATAAAGATTACACATTGCTGTTAGCTCAATTCCAACATATAGCAACTCTACAGGGCAGAGAAGAACTTCCCCATAGGGTTTCCAAGGATATAAGCCTTTAGGGAAGCAGACTGCTACATCTCTTCTATAGAGCAGCTGGTGAGTTTGAACCACCAACCTTTGGGTTTGCAGCTGAGTGCTTAACCACTGAGCCACCAGGGCACCTCTCCATGAAGATTGCAGCCTAGGAAACACTATGGAGCAGTTCTACTCTGTCCTATAGGGTTGCTATGAGTTGGAATCAATTCTATGGCAATGTTTTTTTTTTTTTTAATTTATTTACTACGTGATCCTATGTACCACACCCTCTTCTAGGATATGGAGAGACAGCTGTGGAAAAAAGCAGACAGAAATCTCTGCTCTCTGAATTTTTTTTTCCTTCACCCAAGTTAATATGTATCTACCCTTTAGTTAGTGGTTTACCCTGCCTTCCCCACCCAGCCCTGGTAAATAAACATCAAAGACTATTTCTTTTTTTGTGAAACCCTTTTCTTGACTTTTTATAATAATGGTCTCATATAGTCTTTGTCCTTTTGCGATTGACTACTTTCACTCAGCATAATGGGCTTAAAATTCACCCATGTTATGAGATGTTTCATAAAGTCATCATTGTTTTTTGTGTAGTATTCGTTGTGTGTGTGTACCATAGTTTGTTGATCCATTCTTCCATCAATGGGCATTGAAGTGTTTCCATCTTTTTGCTATTGTGAATAGTGCTTTAATAATTATAAACATGAATGTGCATATATCTGTTCATGTAATGGCTCTCACTTCCCTGGAATATATACGTAGTAATGATTACTGGATTCAGGAGGCCAAAGTTCCCCCACCCACCTCTATTATTTATATTCTGTATTAGTTATAATTAAGTTTGATTGTAAATGACAGAAAACTGAAATAATGGTAGGTTAAAAAAAAATAGAAGTTTATTTCTCCCACACATAATAAGGTCTGGAGATGAGCATTCCAGACCTGGTATGACAGATCCAGAATTATCAGGGACCCAGAATTATACCCTATTGATTTCCCATTCTTCATGTGCAGCTTCCACCTCAGGGTCTACGATGGTTGCTTGACCTCTAGACATCAAATCTACAACCCAGTCAGCAAAAAAGAAGGACATGACCCATCCCCAATGCCTGACCCTGAAGTGCCCTTTCCAGGAGTTGCTCACATCACTTACATCCACTGGTAGCAACTTAGTCGTAGAACCACATCTCATTATAAGAGAAGGTAGGAAATAAAGTCTTTATTGCAGACAATCATGTGCAAAGCTGAAAATGGGAGGTGGGAGGCATCCTTTCTAGGAAAGATGGAGAGGACAGATATTGAGAAGACATGCAGAAGTTTCAGCCATGCTTGGCAATGTTACCTTAGGAGAGCCAATACATTTCTCATTACCTCAGTTTCTCCATGCACAAGGTAAGAGAATCAGGCCAGATGAACTCTCTCCAAAGTCCTTTTCACATCTCCATTCTATAGTTCATTGGTTTATTGTTTTGTAATTCCTTTAAGCCTAGGGGAATCTGATATCATTCAAATAAAATGATACCTTTCTGCCAAGTACATAGAATAATCAATTGTTGGAATTAAAACCTCCCAGTGACAAGGAAGGGTTTAGGAACTTTGCCTTCTCCATTGTTGTCAAAATAAGCTAACTAAGCAGATCTAGTAGATAAAATCCAACAGCATGTGTGATACCACCCACTGTGACACTTTGAAGCTCCTAGGTTTCCAGAATTACTCTTACTCCTCTGTACTTGTTTGGTGTTTCTGCTTAGAATTTAGGGAGCTATGTCTATTGAGGGGAGTACAGCAACCCCAAGGAGCTCTAAAGCACCACTAATGATACAGCATAAATTCTGTGGGTCAGGATTTATGGTCTATTGTTATGACTTTTTCTTAGTACAGTTAGCTGTAGTTAAATTCTTTTTTTTTTAATTGACACCATAAAATTCACCCTTCTAAAGTATGCAATC